TTACTTGTACAGTTATCTCAAATTATATTATATGAATAACTACATTACCGTATAATGGAGTTCAGATAATTAGATTAAAATATTTAACCTAGGTGTGTATAATATTGTATGCGGTATAGTAGTTGAACATTAACAACGGTCGTGTTGATGTACGTATTTTATTTTATAATTTTAAGCTACATTTAGGTAGAATTAATCACTAAAGTTTAATCCGATACTAGGAACCCACAATAATTATACATGTAATTCGGATTTAGTATCTTTTCATTGTATCTATATAATTGTCATTACACAAGCAGAAGGATAATATATTAATCCTCTGTCATCAGATGGACTTTAGTAGAGGATTTGAAACATTTTTAAAATTATTTTTAATAATATATACTACAATTTCAATTTGAATGGGAAATATTTCCATTAAATAGAAAAGTATTTCATAACAATTTAGATGGAATTTTTATTGTTTAATAATTGAAAATCATATTTTATTAATTTAATGAACTCAACAATTTCAATGAGTAAATAGTAAGGTACACCGTTTACATATTTTTTTTTTTTAAATAAAATAATTAATAAAAAAAAATATTATAAGAGCTGTAAGCATTGATCACGATTTATTTTAACAAGTTACTTTTAAAATAAAAATATGATATTATTATTTTTAACAAAAACTATTCTCGTTCTAAATTTAATTTATTCTGCATTAGTCCAGGCAATAGTTTTAATATATATTCCAATATTCGTAACAAATATAATTTACAGTTTTAAGAAATGTCTGTATTTATCAAGAGTAAATAAAGGTTATGAAAAATTATCTCTTGAATACGTTTAATTTAATTCGATTACGGTATTATAGTATAATTTGTGTTCAAAAACTTTATTTTAATTGATTTTATTTTATTTTTGACATCAACAGACTTAAACTATAAGCAAAAGTTATATTTTTAAATTAAATTTGTAGTGCAGTTATAAATGTTAATTAGTATTTTAATTTGAACAAAATTCGTTAAAAACTCACATTTTAAGTACCTATTTAATTACATGATTATATGATGCTATTATAAGTAATATAAAGGTATAAAAGAAATACATAATTTATCTAAAGTTCAAACTAATATAAGTATGAGCCCATACCTATCTTAACTAAAAAAATGTTTGTCTATTCAAATAACAAGTATTGGTATTAATATCAGACACAAATACACGATTGTCTGTTTTAAATACATTTGTAATTAATGTAAGTAATACATACAGCAGACAGCCATTTGAAGTTTCAGACGTTGTAATGATGCCAATTACCAAGTGCGATGTACCATATTCAAAAAAATTATATTTTTTTTCGACGAAATAAGAAACCACACTCTTCGAAAACGAATACATAGGTACTATAATCTTATTTAATAAATAGGTTCTAGAAATGTCTTTTAAAATAAAAAAAGTACCGTTACTTGTAACACGATACATAAGTAAATTATTTAGGTCGATATTAAGGGTGATTTGTTGTACAGTAAGTTTCTGACAAAACTGTCAAATAACTTTGTTATGGACATTGTTGAAAATAGTAACTTGTGAACAGAAAATCGCTTTAATCGTAATAGGCAAAAGTCCGCAAAACTTTCATTAGGTACCTGCAACTTTAGCCTGATTTCAAGTGGTAACTATTTACTAAGTTTACCTGGTTAAATTCGTCAATTTTAATTTAAAAATAGTAACCCCCATGCATGACATTGCAATTGTTTGTTTCATAATATCAATTTTTAAGTTGATAGGTAATTAATTTTTTTTAAATACGTATTTATAATTTAATTATTTTTTCAATTAGTTTTTACGAACCTTTTTATTTCAATAAAAACAGATTGGTGATGGGTCACGGGTGCTTGCTTTTATAGCAAAATACTATTCAACTATAAGTTGTGAATTATAATACAATAAGAACTATACATTTTGTCTTAATATTATTTTGTTATTAATTTAATATTCGGTGTTAAGTACAATTTATTTTATTAAAATATAAAAAATTATTAATAATATTATATTTTACTAATTTCATTGATTGCTTAGCTAAAAGATATATGAGTACCTATCATTTTAGTAACATTGATCTCCATAGTTTTAAAAATTTCAAATATTAGCCATGTAATACCTACCAAATATAATTAGTTTAAGTTGGATTATAAAGGGATTACCAACATCTTCCTTACATATTTTTTAAACCTTTTTAAAATTATTAGTTTAAATAAGAATGAAAACAAATCTACTTATTTTTAAGTAGATACTTTATGTAGTACTATAAAGATTCAACTGGGAAGTGAGTTCAATATAGGGAATTTATATTATGAAACATATATAATAAGTGTATCATAATATCAGGGAATATTTACGAAGATTTTCTTCAATATTGTGCAATAAAGATCATTATTGATGATTTGAAAAACATATGTTGAAATACTTATAATTCGATTTGGAGTATCATTTAAAAAAAAATTCTTTGATAATATATTTTTGATAATGCGTTTTCTTTATACGTTTCTTGATGATACAGTCTAATGTTAACACAAATTTCACATATTTTACCGTAGCAAAATATCAAAAATCAATTTTCCCATATTATTCTGAAGTCCTGTGGTTAACATATAAAAGGCCACAACATATTTTACTAAGAAATTTTCTAATCTAACAACCAAACTACCTCATGATGTATAAGTATGAAACACTTTGTCCCGTAAGGACTTACTAATTTTAAGTGGTGAGGTTATAATGCAAATTTCACTACCTCACTTTTATATAAAATACAATCGGTGTAGGAAATACAACTTTAAATACAGACAAAAAAAATAAATAAAAACAAATATAATTTTAACAAACACATTTTTTCTATGCCTTTTAATATCACTATCAGTTGGATCCATTATCGATGTTTGCTACTACCTATTTGTTATTATTTATTGAATATTGAATTATAAAAATGATTGAGAGTTGAGTTCATTTAGAAATAATACTAACCCTCGAATCGTATTTTTTCCTTAAAATTAAAAAATTTAATAGAACTTAAAAATTGAAATAATCAAAACATTATTTTATTTTAAATTTTAAATGTTAATAATTACCGTGGTTAATGGTCAGTAAATGTATTCATAATAATTACGCTGGATATTTTTCTCTACTTTTGCAACAATTTATATTAAACATTCTGCCATTTTCAAAATTACAAAGCAAATACCGTGTAATATTAAACCATCCGCTGTAAACACTAATCGGTGTAATAGGGTGAATAGGTATTGTGGAATGGGATGCTTGGGATGTGCAATTTATTGCAATGCTAAATATTTATAACATATATTATGCTTTTAATGTCTTAATAACATGTATATAATGTATTACAATAGTTGCTTAATTGTTTGAATATTTAAAACATTGAGATACCACAAGTAACTATGTATAGGTAGTGTAATAAAACGACTATTCATTATATTTACTTGAATTTTCTAAATTTAAATTATGCTTTTATGAAATAGTATTAAAAACGAAAATACCTAATAAAATAAAGAATTTGAGTTTTATATCTGTATATATTATAGACATGAAATACTAATAACACAGTTGGCTATTGGAATATCGTTCAGCCAATGGCTCGATTCCAAAGTAGCGTCTATGATTGTTATAAAATACATTAACAGATTTATCGAGTAATAAAATCAATACACACACACATACTACACTAAAACATACAAACTATATGCTAATATATATGTTACACATTTTCAGTTTTCAGACATAGTAATGTATGCCCATGATTTACGTAAGACACTTATGCTATATAAAAAAACCGTTTTTATGATTTAAATTTAAAACTTCGTTTAATTTTGAACTTTAAAGTTTAAATATAACTCAGTTAGGTTAAGTTAGATTAAATTAATAAAAAAAATGTTGTTTTTATTTGTGAAATGTTGTTACTTGTTCATTATTATTGTCAAATACTTCAATAACATGTTACATGGTATTATATTACGTTTTAGTATTTTTTTATTGACTTTGATGAAAAAAAAATTTGGGCCTAAATATAGGTATAAAATTTGTATACTATATTTTTATTCATTGTTAAAAATTAATAATTTTATTAATTGCGCCTTTTAACAATGACTAGAAACATAATATTCTACTCATGCTAATTTGATGTGAAATGAATGGATTTATTACGTTCGTACCAAGTTAGTGAAAAGAATTCGAGGTTCCTATGATTCTGGAAAATAATTCATTTAGTACAAACAAAAAATTGAATGAACGTATAGAATCAAAACGAGCTGCAAAAGAACAGGAAATCATCGTAAGGCAGAAAACTTTCAGGACGTGACTGCAAATCGTAGACACATGTGTACAACCCTCTTCAACTGGTGAGAGCCGGCATTCGTATGAAAATCTAAATAACGAACCGTACTCGAGAACAGGTCTCACTAATACGCAGTAAAGGGATTTAAATGATGTGGGATAGCTTATAGACTCACCTGCTGCTCGCCATGTAAAACGTTTTTACTTGTTAGGGAGTTGAAACGAACAAATAGCAAGGAAACTGCAGTTTAAAGTAGAGTACGTTTTGAGACAAAAAATTGGTTGAATTTTCGGCTTAAAAATATTGTCAAAATACGGCTTTAAAGAGCCGGTTTTAAGAATCAAATCAAAACCACCATGGTAAAACCGTTAAACCGTCTATATACATCAGGCACTTCGAACGTGCATTTAGACTACATATAGTTACGTTCATATTATGCGTCCGTTTATCATTTCAGACGGGACAGTATTTGAATTTTATTATTAGCGAAGTATAGCACAACATCATATAACGCGTTCTCTTAGAATTTAACTGTTTTACTGTAAAACGTAATTAATCGCACAGTACGGCACACAATACAATTAAAATGTATTCAGGGTTGGTTTGGAGTTGATTCCACACACGGTAATGTATATTATGCAGACCGCTGACTGAACTGATTAAACGCTCTTACCCCAACGTGGTCATGGTGACGATGGTGTACCAAAAGGCGGCCGGAATGGACGTGAAGTTCGTGCCGTCCACGTTCTTTTCAGCGTAAAACATGACGGTGGCGAATATGATGATAGCCATGGCCAAGGAGAACACCAAGAACCCGAGTTCGGAAGCGCACGACTTGAGCGTATAGCCGAGTATGCGGAGCCCTTGCGAGTGCCGGGAGAACTTGAATATCCGGAACACCCTGAACACGCGGAGGGTGACGAACGCGCCTGACACGTCGTCGTTGTCTGTGATGCCTAGGCCGATGTAGTAAGGCAGGATGGCCACCACGTCGATGATGCTCATGACGCTGCGCATGAACTTGCACCGGTCCGGGGCGGCGAACAACCGCAGCAGATACTCGGTGGTGAATATCATCACGCAGGCCGTGTCCAGGCAGAAGAACACGATCTTGTAGCGTTCGCCGCATGGCAGTGTGCCCACCCGACCGGGCCGGTGGCCGCATGGCACAGTCTCCACCACGTTGGCCATGACGGACACGGCGATGAAGAAGCCGGTGACGTAGTAGAAGACGAGCGCCGCGGTGGACGTGTGTGGATTGCCGAACGCCCGCCACATCTTCTGCCTGATGTTGGTGAGCTGTGGCAGGTTCTGGTCGCCGTTCTCCGACAGCTTGTCGTCCATCAGCCGCTCAGCGTTCTCTCGCTTCCGGTCCCGGTAGTCCTCGTAGCAGCAGTCGCCGATGACATCTGGCAATATGCCGAAGAACGCCAGCTCCTCGTCGTAGCTGGTCAGGCACTCGTGCTTCGGGTAGTGCAGCTTGCCGGTACGGTAGTAGTTGAGTATGTGCCGGAATATGTCCGGGTCCCGGTCGAAGAAGTACTCCTTGCAGTCTTCGTCGTAGAAGAACTCCCGTTCGTTGGACCCGAGCAACGTGTCCGGATACTTTTCCACCGTGTTCCGCCATGTCTCAAACCGGCGCCCCGAGACGTTGATCAGTAGCTTCTCATCGTCTATTCTCCGTCGGTCCTTTGGCACCGGCGGCGGCGGCAATGGGTGCGTGGCGATCGGCACCCAACCGATGGCCGCCGCCCGGGCGAACGGCAGCCAAGCGGCGACCGAGGCCATGCTGTGCGGTGGAATGACAGTATCACCGGCGGCGCCGCCGGTCCAGTTGTTCTCGTATAAATAGCATACTCACGCGTCGCTGTACACGCCGCCGCAGTCGCCACTATTGTACTGTCGTCGTCGTCTTTGATTGCCGGCACCGATACGTCAAAGCGTGCACGGCTGTCGTCGTCGTCGTCTCTCCCCCTCCCCCGAACGATCGCAAAACAAAATATTATGCTGCAAAACCGTGCGACGACGAATTCAAGCCGCCTCGGTCTACATGGGTTTTTATTTTTATTTTTATAATCATTCAATTTTTGTATTATATTTCCCTTTTATTTAAATTTTTTTTATTACTCGTGTACTCGAAAATCCCGTCCGTTCACGCCGTGGCGCCCATCTCGGTGTAATTTTACTACTACTACTATTATTATTATTATATTTGCGTTTGCTACACACCGGTGACCGCTCGCGCACACGCACAACCCTCCACGCGTACGCGAAGCACACGATCGTACACACACACACGCGCACACTCACTCACCCACACTCAGTAGCCACCACTGTAGTCGTGAACGCGTGCTATCGCGGATTTCGGCGGTAGCGACCACCAGACACCCGGCCGACTCGTGACAAGCAGCTACACTGAAGGATGACTGTGCGCGGCGGCGACTCGGCGAACTGCAGCCAGTATAGCACCGCGGCGGCGGCGGCGGCGGTTTTCGCTCGGTCGAGTGTTTTATTTTGTTTTTTTTTTTATTTTTATTTTTATCAAAACGCCGCCACCGTCATCGTGCTCCGTCGCCGCCGCCGCCGCCGTCATCATACCCCGTCGCTATGTAGTTTATATTGTATATACAGTGTATGCTATACAGTTGCAGCGCGTAAAACTAATGACCCAAGCGCAAGCGCTCGCGGCCCGCTCGCAATCGATTTGCGTTGTATCCGTGGCGCGCCTCCCCGTTCAGGCGTTTCGTTTTCCCGGCACGGACTCGCCCGACACACGCTATATGCCGCCGCGGCCAGCGCGCGGGCGCGACAGTCGTCGTACCGCAGCTCGCTAACTCGCTCTGCTCGATCGGTCGCTCGCTCGCCGGCTAGCTCACCGTCGAGCACAGCACGCACAAGCGGCCTGACTGCAGCGGACGTCTCGAAAACGCGGCATTATAGCATACATATTTCCTTATACAATATTATACGCTCATATGACGCGATATGCGCGATATAGAGCGAGGCGGGCCGTCAAGGCCGTGTACTAGCGTTCGGCAGCAAATGCGTTCCCCAGGCAACGCGCCGCCGTTATTTACACGCCGCCAGCCCGCGCGTATACACGGTTGTAAAACGCACACGCACACGGTAGCAGCGGCTGGCGGCGGCGGCGTGTATTATTATTATACGACGGTGCTCACCACGCACACGTCCCGCGTACGACCGCCGTGTGCCGTGTATACGTATATTATTTTACGTGCGTGTGCGTAAAATGTATATCGCACACGCCCCCGCACACTACGCGTATCGCACGCCATCGTATTAGCATGTGCCGATAACAGAAGAAGTGGTGGCAGTCGCTTCTTCTCCGCGGCCGCTACCTATACAAACGCGACGCCATACAAGACTCAGCTCCTCCGCGGTACGACCCGCGCCACCGCGTGCCATCGTGGCGACAATATAATATTTTATCGCCGTATACCCGTTGTCGTGGTGCGGCGCTGCGGGCCGCGGACGCATTTAATTCGTCAGGAGTCACCGCGCCGACGGACGGGCGGGCGGACGGACGGCGTTATTTACGACTGTTAAAAGTCGAATTGGCGCGCGCGGTCGTCGTCATCGTTATCGCTATTATTACTATTTACGGGGTGGCTTATTGTACGGTAGTGTGTTTTATTTATTAGCATTGGTCGTATAATAAATATATTATATGTATACCCACAACCCATAATACCTATACTGCTGCAGCGGCTGTATAGTATAACCGCACGCCACCCACACGGCCAACGACAGTAAACACAGTAAAACGCGTTATCCGCACTGCGGCTTTATGTATGTATATATATATGTATGCGCTATTATGTTATTACAGCAGTAAGTAGCCCTCAATCTCCCCCCAACCCGTTCCCCGCACGCACCACCGTCCACCTCACACGACCCCCCAACCACCGGCGATCGCCCCCCCCCCCCGATTTTGTCATACATCACGCAGACGTGTTATATATATTAGCGGTGAGCGCCTATCGTTGACGCCGCCGCATCACGTTCACGGCACATGACCACGTTAGTAAAATAATATTGTTATTAAGCAGCAACTCCGATTTTGGTAAAAATTTGACTTTAATAGAAACGTTTAAACTTATTTTAAATCCAATTTTCTTATGAAAAAAAAAAAATAGCAAATCCTAATACCCATTCATTTTACATTTAAAATATGAAAATAAGAAGTAAGCGGGTACTGAAAATAATTGTCTACAATAAATTACGAGCAAATAATAAGTAAATCAAATTCAGACAGAAAATACGGTAATAGTAGTGACATACCCAATATTATTGTACACTGTGTTAACTTTTCTCATGCCCACTCATTGTAGGTCTACTGTCCCTGTGTAGTTGGTGTACCTAGCATAAATGGTTGTAAATAATATAGGTACTGATACGTGCAGGCTCTCGTTAACAAAATGCGGTGGACTGTTTTTCGTAATCTGCATCATAAGACCTCGTCGTCCGGTGGATTGACAGATCGTGGCTCAGTAATAAGGACAAATCGACCAGTTTTGAGACATTCAAACACGTTTTATTACGTTTACAATCGTTTGATAACGTTTTTGCGTAACTTTTCGATAACGTTCACGGGAGTGGATCGAGATAGAGCTTCTGCTCGAAATACCGTACACTTGACGGCGATGAATCACGTGTATAATTACTGTACGTACCTATGCATATACTTTTAACATCGTCGTTATTTTCATTTGAAATTGTCCCCTGGTTGTCAAACACTTAAGTGTTTCTACTTACGGAAAAATATTGATGCCAATGTAGTGTAGTGTGTGTGTGCGTGTGTGTTCAGCTTAAAACTGAACAAGTGTTAAGAGCATATACATCATTTTATTATTAGCGATGACGAAGTAGGTTTTCGTGTCACCACAATTCGTTCAAAATTTCAATTTTTTTTTAAACATTAAAATATGTACCATAATTCGTTTTAATTTTTACAAACTATGTTACCAGTATATTTGGAATTTTGAATATTGTTGTATCCCCAGAGAACCTACCTGCAATGACTCACAGACGAATATTGAATTGGAAATACAATTTGATCTAGACATCTAATATTGAGTGTTTAGAACAATATTTTTCAAAGTAAGTAGGTATGAATGTATGATTAAAAATTTATTTTCAATACATGCTTATTTTAAATAGGTACTATTATTATTATTTTTTTTTTTTATTGTTACAGCATCAATTACATATTTATTTTCAATTTCGTATGTGTAATAAATATCTATCAAATATGCAAATTCATATCATAAATATGCAAAACATATGCAAAATGTTTTTTTTTTACAAAAATACAACACAATCTAAATATATGTACCTACAAAAAGCTTATAAAAAAAATTAAAAATAACGTTTTTTAATGACAGCGCGTAAGTAAAAAGTGTTATAAATTCATTAAAGTATTAAGCATAAAATTATTATTTTAAAATTCAGATTAACATTATTTTTATGAAGTTGTGTTTAAAAGTATTATATTAGTTAAATTAAATTATGATTATGGGAAGAGTATCACAATGAAGTAATAAAAATCGATTTTAAGTTTTCGAATTGATAATTTCTACGATTATCTCGAAGCATACTTTTGTACTTAGAAAAACTTCTTTCCACATCACAAAATATAATTGGTGCATTTTTAAAACCAAATAAATCTTCAACTGACAGTTCCTTGTCTTCGTCACATTATACTATCGGTTTTTTTCAATGTAGAATAACCACGATTTTAGGTATTTATACAGACGTAATGGATGAACAAAAATATGACAAAAATGATTATTTTTTATTATTATTGTAGAACGTGCAACATTTATGCAACTATCCAGAAATATGCAGTTAACAGTTAGTAATAGTAAATTATTATTTATTAATAAGTAATAACTTTTGTATTTATTCTTAAGCAAGCAACAAAACACACTTATCTACTGTAAACGTATTTTAAACAATTTCATATATTTTGTTATAACTAAAAATATTTTGATTTTTTTTATAATGAACTGTGGATATGTAAACTTTTGTTCAAATGTTAGTACCTACCTATTTCATTTTTTGATTTAAGACTAAAAAAAAGTAATGTATTTACTAATGTTGAAAAACAATTTGTTCTCTACATTTTTTATATTTTGTATTTGCTTACTGAATGTTGATGCATGTTTTTATATTTACATTTTTTACATTTTAAAAAGTATTTCGTCCATTCCACCGCATAGGTATATTGATGTATAATCTGACATAGAAATAAATGGTTTTGTTGTTCGTCGTATGAAAACATCAGCTCCGTTGAACGGAGACAAATGTATGACCGTACGAGTAAATAACGGCGAAGGTCACAGTTTCTGAAAATGTTTCTTTAAATGGAAGATTTTCTTTATATATAATAATATGATATGTATATATAAAAAAATGTATTCTGTATAATATATATGGTAGAAATCTAGCGCAGTGCAGTTGTAGCGTGTCGCGGTAAGTCGTGATGTGGTTGTAAACAAAATCCCATTTATAGCGTTTATAATATATATTATATATATATATATTAGGAACGTAAAGGGTTAGTATTTGTAGTCTGAAAGTTAAGTTACAGCGGGCATTGGATAAAAATGATTGCCTCTAAAAATGTCTGAATTCCCTGGCAGAATCTACATAGAGGTATACTTATTACATACAAAACCGTATACATTATACCGTCCGATAGCCGAAACCTCTTTTTATATCTATATTCCCGTCGGGTGTGTGTGGTATTAGGAAGTGTAACTATATGGCTGCAGGTCGTCTTAGTGTTTTATCATTTATACCAAATTTCAGCTAGACATTTTGGTCCTTTTTTGTGTGTAGAAAATGAGTAAAGTCGAATGTCGTGTTTGAGTGTTTTTTCTTTTTTCATTTAGTCATTTACTGTGTAAATCAGGAGTGTACTCAAGGCGGGTGTCATACTCCGCCTTTGGCTTATTTTTGTTATAAACAATATTATAAAGCAATGAATGTATGTATAACGTTGTCTGTGAATAGTCAAAAATTTATATCCCCGCCCCCTCTCAAAAAAGCTGAGAACACCACTGGTGTAAATCGATGACAGACTGGGCAATTTACCTGTGGTGGATTTGATACGGTGTCAGTGCAATTGGTTTGAAGACACTTTAAGTGTAAATCAATCAAGTAAGAACACGTAGGTAAGCAACCCGACTACTTTGGATGACTCTAGCTTCTGGGCCTGTCTATTTTTTTTTTACATATAACAAATCTAAAATCAAAAGCTAGTTTGAGTTCCTTGTTATCACTTATCTGGCACCGTTGGTAAAAATCGATAGATGGTTGTTATAGAAGTTACAGAAGATAAATAATTCGTTTACATATTTTCTAATTTCTTATTATTTCTTGTTTAAAAATTATAGAACATAAAACATAAATACATTATTTT